ATTTTTGTTGGCCCATTTCTTCCCTAACCTTCACTGAAAGAAAAGTAAAATTTCTCCCCACAATCTTTAGTAGATGCTAGCTGGTTGTCATGATGATCTTTATAAGGTTTGAAATTGCATAATTGGGTATTGAGATATTTTTTGTCCATTAGACAAGCATAAGTCTCAAGACTCAAATCTCATGATTGAACCATTAAATTAATAATAATAATAAACAATAACATACAAAAATCAAACTAATATCATAACTCTTTCACTCCCAATTTAACATTAACAAGTAGTCTAAGTCATTAAGATTATAGTTTATGAATTCAAAGGCCTTACTCAATACTTAATGGGTTTCATTAAATTATTATTATAGTGAGCTGTTTTCTCTCGTGCCACATTTGTCGTTGTAGCTATGAGTGTGAGTGGCATTGGGTGCCAGAGTGTCGTGCAACGGAGAGTTGAGATGCGAGCGATTCTTACTATCGGTTCTGTTTTTTAAGTTTTAGGCGTTGAGAAATAACAAAATAGAATTTATTTGCTATATTAATTTTGTGAATCAAGAAGACCCTATTTATTAAGGCTTTTGCCTCCTACAAATTGCGTAGATGCACATCAGCCCTATTGAGGCATACGTCTCTTCAAGCCAAGGTGAGGTGCAATTTTCATAACATTTTGTAAATGATGATATTTTTTTAGTGATATTTAAGTTTTGTTTTCATGAAATCTAGATGTTTAGCTAAATTTGCTAAAATTGACATGTTATGTTATTTCATGCTAACATAAAAAATAAAAAGAAAGATTATAATTACTGCTGGCCATTCTAGAAAACTTTGATATTTAGCGCTTATCGGTTTTGTTGCTTTGATAGCATTTATTGCTTTCAATAAGTTTCCAACCTTTAAAAATGGTGAGGAAAGATTGCTAGATTTAATTGTCGGTGAGTTGGGATGTTGTCTGATCCCATGAGAACAATTGATGAAAGGTCCATGATTGATTCATTAATGGGTTTGTACTGATTATGCATATTAGGTGTTGAAGAATGTTTTGAAAAATAGAATTGAAGCTTGAGTTATTATGTTTCTTTTTTCTTTTATATTTTAATTTAATGTATATACAATACTTATTACTTAGTGCAATTTATGAATTTTTAGGTTATGCTTCAAAATATTTCGATGCTTATGCCTTGCCTCACTTATGAAAAAAATCTTAATACCTAGTTGTTCAATTTTAAACCTTGGTTTCACCAGATATTCCATTTCATAAATGTGTTTGACTATGGAGCAATTTTATGGATTTTTTTTTGTTGAAATTAGAGCACGTGTTTCTTGAAGGCTGTTGTAGTAACTTCATAAAGGAGTGGCTTTCTGGAGTTGGGAAGGGAGTGAAAGAGAATTCATTGTTACTGTGTTTGATACGTTTACTAATTCCATGAATGAACCGCATCATGGTTGCATCTTGAAGCTTATTGTTGTCATTTGCATGGTCTTTTTGTAGCTTTCTTGTTTCGTTTTTTGTGCTTCTCTTAAGTTTGAATTTATTTTCAGGTTTATTGAATTTGGAAGTGACGGTGGACCAGCAGCAAAGACACTAAGGCCCAAGTTCAACCAGTTTACCAAGCATGTGGCATCCCATTTGGGATTAGTAGCACCACATATTGACGTGAGTATTATATGTTTTTTTACATCTTATCACGTTTAAATGCTGTGCTTCGTATATTTGATCAGAAATGATGCAATTTCATAAATCTGCAATTTCTAACATCTAGAATTTGATTTTATAGATGAAGCATGTTATTGCTGCAACCATAGCTCTCAAAGGGCTTGGGGGTCTTCTGTTCATCTTCAGCAGCACTTTTGGAGCTTAAAAAAAAAAAATATATATATATATATATATATATATCTACTTGTAATTTTCATTGATAATGCTTGTATTCATACTTGCCCCTGTTATTTATCTCGTGACCTAAACCTATATCTGAAAGCATGCTTAAAAGAACATAAGCACGTGCACTTTGGGTGGTTTTCATATGCTTAAATAGTTGTTTTCATGTTTAGTATTTTTATCCTTAGCGTTTTCATTAGAATAAGTGCAGCTATTTGGGTTGGGTTTTGAATCTTCCCTTGTTTCCTGGCTAAAATGTTTTTTTTTTTGTTATTAGAATATTTACTGTCGCGATATAATATAGAAATATTTCACTCTAGTTAATATGTTGTCCCTTCGTCATCATCATCTTTATGTTAAAATGAATTTTGCATTTATGCTATTAAAATCATTTAAAATTGATGAAAATTATTAGGATTAGAAAAATGATCTTTATATAATGATACGGCAAAAGCATGTAATTAAGTACTAAGAGAAGTTGATAGTTGTAGACTTTGTACATTGATTGGTATTATAAATAGTTGTAAAGTGATTAATTTTTTTTTTCGAATTTAGTAGTATCACATCAAGATTTATCACATCAAGATTTAACAATTACTTCATTTTTTTCATTGATTATGGATTTGTTTACAAAGTAGGCGTCTTGGTGATTCATTTTATAGATTTCATAGTTCATACCTGAAAGACATTTGTTGAGGTCAGTGAAAAATTAGAATGATGGAGAAATGTTTAGAAGATGGAGGAGGGCTTTATAATTAGTAGAACTAAGATAAAATTTATTATATACACTTTGGATGGGTTTAATATTAATAATTATTAATCAATAGTATTAGAAGTTAAAATAATATCTTGACAGGTTAAGTAGTTGGGATCTAATAAATGAAGATATAGATGTGGGTTTAACTTTGAGATTTAATGTTGGTTTGTTAAAATGGAAATGCACCTTTAAAGATACATGCTTGAAAAGAAGATTGTGGAGACTCACTGGGAGATTTTTATAAAGTTGTAATTTTGTTGGTGATATTGTATGCGACCAAGTTATATTTAGTAAAATATTTTTTTATAGCTAAAGCAATCATATGCTAAAGTTGAAATGATTAAATATGATTGTGTGAAAATTAGGAAACATAAATCAAGAAATAATCTATTAGAAAAATTCAATAACAACAATAATATTAAGCCTTTATCCCACTATATGGGTCGGGTTACATGAATCTTTTTTCTCTATTGTGTCATGTTAAGAGTCAAATTCTTATTTAAATTTAATAAAAAAAAAGATCATTTCTAATAATTTCTAGGCAAGTCATTTTAGGTATACCTCTACCTTCTTAACATGGGTCAAATCCAATACATCTACACTCCTAACTGGGTCATCGAAAAGCCGACGTTTTGTGTGTCCAAACCATCTAAGGCGACACTCTCTAATCTTATCTGCCACTGGAGCTACTCCAACCCTTCCAACCCTTCCAACCCTCCCAACCCTTTCACGTATACTTTTCGTATTATATCTCTAAGAGTAAAGCCACTCATGCTCCTGAGAATTCTCATCTCTATTTGGAAAATTAAGAAAAAGAAATTCGGCGAACATTTGGAGATTAAATAAATGAAAAAAGAGTTGCATGATTTGAATATGTACGGCGAATGGTTCAAAATATATCCTTGACAGGTATAAACAGTGAGTGTTGGAGGAGTAGAAATGAGGGCGGTAAGCTGGAATCATAGACTTGTGGTGACTTTTGTAGAGTTTGTTCAAAAGAAAAGTTTGACAAGATTAAAGTAGTTTTTAGTTAAAAAATTTAAATTTCATATTATAAAGCATTTTTAAGCAGCAGTAAGAAAGCTGTCACAAACAAAATCTAAGGCTTTGTTTGGGATGACTTTTTTGCCGCTTCTTAAAGCAGCTTTATAGTATAAATTTTTTAATTTTTATACTAGAAAGCAGCTTTAAGAAGCAGTAAGAAAACCGTCCCAAGCGAAGCCTAAATTTAACACGACAAACAACACCTATTATTTACAATCCCAAATGATGATGAATATTACTCCTTGCTTTTTTGCAGCTTCTTTATCTGGCATTTATCACACCTATTGTTTACGATTTCTACAACTTCGACATTGAGAGGGCAGAATTCGTACAGCTTTTCATCAAGTTCACACAGGTGATTCTTTTGCCCCTCCAAATTTAGGTTCATGAGAAATCTAATCTTCTTCAGGCATTGAGATTTGTTTACTGCTTTGTTTCTTTACAGAACTTGGCTCTCTTCGGCTCTCTGCTCTTCTTCCTTGGCATGAAGAACGCGATCCCTAAACGCCAACAAAAGAAGAAGGTTCCCAAAACGAAAACAGGATAAAATCAAATGCCTTGGTGAAAAATTTGGGTGGGTCTTTGAAGTCCCTGCTTTTTCTTATCTATATATTTATCCTTTATTTAAAAAAATATATATTTTACTTTTGTGAGAGTGTAGTAGTCAAGTCATTAAGATTTCTTTTGGCGTTTAGGACAATTTATTGTTTCAGAGCCGAGTTTTATTCGGACACCTCTCCATACTGTCTTTCTTCTTCTGCAGATACCTGAGATTTTGCTTCGAGGCCCCATTTTCCGTTCCTTAGTTGTTAGCTTTATTATATAGTGGTGTAGTCCATTAGTGCCCTGATAAAACATCCTACGACGGCAAGCCAATTGATTGCATCAATTCTAATCAATATCTCCGAACCGTCCGATCAACAACCTAATCACATCTCCACCATCTATTTCCTTGATATATTAGAATTCTCTTGACTACTAGTTCGGTTGGCAACTAATGGCATCCAACGTAATTAGTTTTAAAAAAAACGAAATCAATGGGCTCATTATATCCTTATAAAATTATATTGAATATCATATTTTACATAAATTTTAATTTAAGGTTAAGTAGAATATTAAATTAATTTTTTGTTTGTACAAGTCAAATTAGTTGAGTGATGAACTAAAATTTTGGCTTAGTCAAAATTTTCATTATATCAAGTAGGGGTGCCCATATTTGACTTGACACAAAAATCCGACTCGGTTCCGGCCCGAAAATTACAGGTTAGGCCCGACTAGATTTCAAAACATGTCGGTTTCGAGTTCCCAAATTTGACCTGTTTGAAAAAACAGGTCGAATTTGGGTCCCGAAAATTAGACGAGTCAACCCGGAAACCCATTTAAAGGAGTTGATCACGTTGCTTGAACCCCCCTGTGCGTCGTGTCCGAGCTGCCCTAGCCCACCTGAGTTCGAGGCAGGTTGGCCCATTTGAACTTTGGTAAGTTCCAAGTTCAACCCGAGACTGACCTGAAACTTGATTTTGACACCCCTAATATCAAGCTAGATTTGAATTGGATCAAACATGCTTGAGATCGGTTCGAAATAAAAATAATATATATAAATGTATACTTATGAAGGCTTTAAGCATTTATTATTTACGTATATAAGTGTGTCAAAATAGCGTTATGGGTCGGGTTTGGGTCGAACCTGATATTGATTCGCCACTATTTGATAAAAGGGTCAAAAAAATACAATCCTGTCTCGACCCATTAGATTGTCGGGTTGATCCAACCTGTCATGAAACTGGTCCATCCAATCCAATCCAATCGCCTCCTATTGCACTGCGCCAAGCTCATCACCACGCTGACTTCGTAGCCGCCTATCACGCCATTTTGTCTATATTGATGTACACCATTAATTTGACTTAAAAAATATATGCTCGAAATCAATGTATAGCCGAGCTCAGGATGCTCTTGATTTCATTATATATTAATTAATTGAGTTTGAGCTTAAGAAGATGAGTTCAACTTAGCCCATTTTATAAATTATGAAAAATCAAAACAAATCTAATAAGTTTTGTTGATAGAAGTGAGGAAAGAAGGCAAAATTATGAGAGAGGGGATTAGATTTTCTAGATTTTTAATAACTTTCTGATTATAATTAAAGAAAAAAATGGATAAAGAAATCATGATAATTTTTTTTTTATAATGACAGAAATATTTAAATTAGCTATGAGCCTTTGAGATAACTAAAAAAGAAAGGTAAATTGATTATGTATCAGAGCCCTACATAGGGTCCTGGTCGAGTACCCATTGGGTACCCACGCTCCGTGCGAGCTGGTTTCGCCCACCCACCCCCACTCATAATATTTTTCAGGATGACGTACCCACCCATACCCATGCTTTGCTTCTTAAAGAAC